ATATAACCTAGTTCTGCGACTGGCTACCCTTGGCTTCTTCCTTGCTTGTTTCTATATTTCTTGGGTTATATGGTTCTTAGTTTTTGGGTGGTGGGTGGGGGTGTCAATCATTTCTTCACCAAAATGCATTCTTGAGGACTATATGCGTTTTTTTTTCCATCTCTTTATTTTCTTAGCCTGTATCATTTTTCCCTTTTTATTGTGGCCTTCTCAATACATGTCATGTTTTGCGATTTGAGTTTCTACAGCATTTCAGTGAGTCCTGAGCAGATTACAAGTCTCAGGAAATGATTCATTCTAAGAAAAACTTATCTGTTTTTGTGACTGTTGCGGTACTGCCAGTATTCCAATGTTTTGAAACATCTAAAGTCATATGCCTGATAACATTTTTGTTATTTATGTTTCATTATGACTGTCCTTTTATCTGCAGACATTTGCAACACTTAGTCCAATCCCTGGATACATACAATGGCTTCTTTCTAAATTGGCGTCTCAGTTGAAGCTCGCTGAATTGGATTCTGAGGACAAAAGAGTATCATCAGAAGACATGACAGCTCGTACTTTTAGGGAGAACTTACTTTACCCTGAAGAAGAGCAAGAAATATTGGCATCTTGTGCGTGAGTTCCGGTTCTTATATGCGTGGAAACTTTGGATGTACTCTGTGCTAGTTTGTATGTATGGACACATGGAAAGAATATATGCATGCACATATGTTGCTTTTCGTATGTATTGACATGCATGTGTACCATACATGTATCTGTGTCTATGCAATATGATATTATAATGGGTACCACACTATTGTTATTCAGTTAGAATGTATGACGAAGAACATCAATGCATTTGTTATTAGTGTGTGTGTTGTGTGTGTGGATACTTGGTTGAGGATTCACCTTACTCTCTTTGGCTCTTAATCTGTAAATCACATTGGAGGTAATACAACCATGATGTCCTCAGTAGCCAAAGATAATGTATCAGTTTGGATCACACATCTCTAAATCCTTATTCTGGAACTCAATAAACTGGGATTCCGAATGTTATCAGTTATTCACTAATGGGACACAAGACTTGAACATGATCTGGAGAGAAAGCACAAGAACATAAACATACTGCTTGGATAACCATGGAATAAAAATTTCAGTAGTCATTTATCCAGAATCATTTTCATGCATTCACAGAATGATGGAAGATCAAGCATATGCCTTTTGACTACAAAATTGCGAAAAAATAAGAAAAAAGAAAAGAAAGGTCAGCTTCTTTGGGCTGTCTGGAACAAATTTCAAGGTTTCGAACGATTGACTGCCCTCACCCTAATCAAAATGGCTACCACCAGGTCAGAGCCTGAGGGAGAGCTACAACCTTCGTACATTCTTTTATTTCGATGGATGTTGTCGCTCATGGTATTTCATACATTCAATGTTGAGAACTTTCAGAACAGGGGCAACCTGTTTTAACTGATCTGTCTGAAACTGATGGATGTTGTTGCTTATGGTATTTCATATAATCAATATTTGAGAACATTCAGAAGAGGGGCGACTTGTTTTAACTGATATCTGTCTAAAACTGATTACATTAGTAAATCTATTGATGCACAAGTGTAGAGAGTGTTGGTCAATTTCATCTTCCAACTTTAATATAGTGATAGCATATGGTCACACAAGAAGGTTTTGAAGTCCTTTTAATAAATCACAGGTAGATACTTATCTCACGATTGCTAAATTCAAGTAACTAGTGACATCCGCTAGAAGGTTTTGAAGTCCTTTTAATAAACAACTGGTAGATACCTATCTCACGATTGCTAAATTCAAGTAACTAGTGGCATCTGTGATATTACCCATTGAAATTCATTTCAGGACTATTTTTTGTTGCATTTCTATGCATCCACATGCATGTAGTTAAGGAAGTCTTGTTTGTATTTGTTATCCGATTGAGTGCTGTTTCCCTACATTGATTCACTCCCACCTGGTCTTGGACAAAAATATGATAATATAGTGTCATTCCAAACATGAATAGTCTCTTGCATCGTAATAAAAAATGGCTATCTGTCCCAAATACATTAAGAATTTAAGATCACTTAAACTTTGCAAAGAAACTTCAAAGGATATTCAATTTATTCCTGTTTTATCTTTTGCAAGAGTATGATCATTTCATTTCACATATGGCTTTCCAAAGATGCAAATTACATCAGCTGAAGAGTTCTGCATAACTTTGTGGGTTTATTATAGCAACAATGCTAGTTACACATTTCTTTAACTCCATAAATTTATCTGGGAGAGTTTACCATATCTATGAACTTAGATATGCCTTTTCATAATTGTTGGAATTAAGATTGGGTGTGCCATTCACACAATGCATATGTTAGGAATCGCGATCTCCAAATGTTAGGGATCTCGACCCTAACTTATTGGTTTTGGGGATCTTGCTTCCAACCTTAAAAAGTGTATATGGTCTAGGACTTCGTATGGTCTTTAAAGTAAGAATCATCATCTTGGTTGTTATCTTGGTTTTTAAGGTGGGGATCAAGATCTTTAATAGTGGGGATTGAGATCTGAAAATTTAAAAATCAAGATCCCTTTCTTGGAGCTCCAGAACGAGACCTAGAGCAGGATTGCCACATAGTTTGAGAGATCCCAACAACTATGGTCTATCCTCCACGTAGTCACTCTAAAAGTGTCATTTTTGATGACAAGAGTGTTCAAGTTCCTTTGCATTTTTCATCACTATGAGATTTGCATTTTGTGCAGTTTCAAATGCAGTTAAAAATGCAATACAAAGACATTGATAAAGTGGTTTTACTTTACTTGAGTGGAACACAGACTTCCATTGTTTCAATATATTCCATGGTTTCAATATACTTCTTACGCTTGAAATGTGGCTAAATATTTGAATAGTTGTTTAATCCTCATTCTCATCATGCAATCAGGGAGAATCCTACTGGAAATAGTGCTGTTGAAGTTATGCTTTGCCTCCTGAGATCAAGAAACCCTGAGTGGGTTAAATCAGATAGATTGTTGGCAGCTTTGCAAGCTCCTCTCATGCGTTTGTGTTCAAGGTATATCAAACCCCTCTGAGTCTATTTTATTTCAGGAATCAATTGACAAATGTATATCAGTGTTGAATGAGTCAAGGTAGTAAAATGCCTCTATTAATCAATTTCATAATTTTATCATCACGTCTGAATCATGTTTGTAGCCATATTGGAGTTTCCTTATGTCACAATTTTCTATTTTATTTTATTCTGCAATACCTACATCAGGGGTTAGCATTAAAGCACATACCACTTTGTCTTAGTTATGGATGACTTAACTAAGCACCTACAGGATGTGGTACTGTGGTGCATGTTGTTCGCAGATGACATAGTTTTGATTGATGAGACCCAAAACGACGTCAATACAAAGTTAGAACTTTGGAGGGATGCTCTAGAATTTGAAGATTTTAAAATTAGCCAGACCAAGATAGAGTATATGGAATGTAAATTTAGTAATAATAAGAGTAGAGATAGGGAAGTAGTTAAGAGTGACGGCGAGGAAATACAAAGAGCATACTTTCGATATCTTGGATCGATAATCCAGGAAAATGGAGAGATTGAGAAAGATGTCGCACATAGAATTAGAGCTGGGTTGGCGAAGTGGAGATGTGCAACCAGAGTTTTATGTGATCGCCACATACGAATGAAATTGAAGGGTAAGTTCTATAGGACAACTGTGAGATTAGCTTTGCTCTATGAGACGGAATATTGGGCGGTTAAAAACTAATATACCCATAGAATGAATGTAGCAGAGATGAGGATGTTGAGATGGATGAGTGGCAAAACAAGAAGGGATAGAATTTGAAATAATTATATTAGGGAAAATTTAAGTGTGGCACCAATAGACGATAAGATGAGAGAGAGTAGACTTAGATGGGCTGGCCATGTGTGGCGCAGGTCTAGTACAACACTTGTTAGGAGGTGCAAGTTAGTTCAAGTGGAAGGCTAAAAAGTGCAAGAGTTAGGCTCAAAAGGGCATGGTTGAAAGTAGTGAGAAAAGATATGGGGACTTATGGCTAAATTAAGGATATAGATCTTAATAGAGCATATTGGCGGACTAAGATTCGTGTAGCCGACCCTAAGTAGTTGGAAAAAGAGTTTGAGGATTATGATGATGATTTTATTCTGCGATACCACGATGGTTTGGCCTTGATCTATGCCTTAAAAGGCAAACAATCTCTGTATTCGTTGTGAAAATGTTGTCCGTCATTTTTTTTGAATCTAGATGTACATATATTTTTAGTATAGGACATTTTTGTCCTCTCATATTGAGTTACTGTTCTTGTAATATGGAAGACCTTGGATTGTCATATACATGAACTGATTAGGATTCTATATGGAAGAAGAACAAACTTTAGTGCTAAATTATGCTTTGTTGTTTCTCCTATGAATTTCATGAAATTTTACATTGTTTTAGAGTCACTAAGCGACATATTGATGCAACACATCGATCATAATGTTGAATAAGTGATTTCTGTTGAATATGGAACAGTCATTATTCACAGTGCTTGATGCAGCAAAGACTACTGAATTTCCAAACCTAATTTCTGTTTAGCCTTATCCGTCATTACTCTTTGGTATGGGAGCATATCGATTCTGTCAATGCACTGCGGCATGGCTGCACAAGGGTTGGAAGGAAGAGGTTGTGTGAGGGGAGGCCGCGGTTGAGGCGTGGAGTTAGAACCGTGATGGAAGATTTGGAGGCCGTTCTTCATAAATTCAATACACTGGTTGCCTAGGTCAGATTAGTGACATCACCTTAGAATTGCATTAGCGAAGGGTTGAACCTAGAGATGATGACCTGCGTCCCTAGGATTTAGGATGCAGACCAGATCTGGTTGTGGGGTGATTTAGACTCGGATAGCCTGGGATCACATCATTCTCATGTAAGAAACCCTATACTATTTGAAGAATGGTTGATTTAGGTGCTAAAAGGCTTTGGACGAACTAGTAGGGTTGTTGTTCTTGATTTCATAACTGCCAGATGATTTCCCAGGCTGGCTGGCAAGTATTGACCAAGTTTTTCAGGGGAAGGCTATGATGTAGCATTAAAAGGTGGGATTTGTGGATACTAGGTTAAAAGGCTATGTTTTGTTGGCAGAAAATACAGGTTGATTGTACAAGAAAAGGAAAGCAAGAGATCACTGTTTGGAGAAGATTAAGAGGTAATTGAAGGGAAAGTTTTTGCGCAAGATCTTGACCAATGACTTCACCATTTACGACAGAAAGATGGTATAGTACAGGATTCTGTGGAAGCCTCCTATTAGTTGTTGAGTTGAAATTATATTTGGGGGACTGATGACTAGTTGATTGCCTGGTACACTAGTGGGCTGCATGTTGCGATACAAGATGAGCTATCTATGCATTGGATTTTTACTTTGGATCAGGCATATCAGCTCGCTTTGGAATTCAAAATTGAATCACAGATGCATTGATTAGGAGATCTATGGTGTTGAGTGTTCTGTGGACATTTGTTGTGAGCTTTGAAATAGTCCTGCAACAATATGCTATTGAGCCATAGTTTGTTGAAATTGTTGAACAAATACAACCAGGAGATACAGAAATTACTAAAAACGCTATGTTTTGCAGGATGGTTTTCGTTTCAGTGGAAATCGCCTCTGCATACTGGATGGCTCCTTGAGGTTGAAGATACTTTCTAAATTTCATGGTGCTGGACTGGGAGCTCACTTTGGCAGAGGATGTACTTTCGTTTTGGAGTAGGACAGGTATTTTTGGTCGAGACATAGAAGAGATGTTCTGAGGTATGTGGATGAATGTCGTCTTTGCCAACTGATGAAATGAAGGACTCAAAACACAGGACTGTGCACTCCATTGCCGGTATCATGACAGCCCCGTGAAGAAGATGTTTTGATTTTGTGGTGTGATTGCCATGAATAGCCTAGCGAATGGACTCTATACTCATAGTAATTGATCGTTACTCAAAGATGGTACATTTTATGGCTTGTCAAAACACCTTGGATGCTATGCAGGTAGTCAATCTGTATTTCAGACATGTTGTTCGGCTTCATTGTGTTACTAGGATTATTACATCGGATTAAGGGACACGCTTGATGATGATTAAGAGATGCATTGTGAGCCACTTTTGTATGACATTGTGGCGAAAGATGGGACAACTTGCAAATTAGCATTGCGTATTATCCTCAAACAAATGTCAGACGGAGGTAGTTAAGAGGAGTTTGGGCAATCTTTTGGCTGTTTGACAGGAGGATGACCACAATGGTGGGATTTGTTCTTGTCTTGAGCTGAGTTCGCATAAACAGTATCAGAAATGAACTACAGGGTGATCACGTTTTGAAGTATTTTCTCACAAGAATTCGAAGCAAGTATTGGGTATGGGGAATTTGCCTGACATGGGGTGGGTTAGTGATAGTGCTGAGGTTTGGCTGGAACACAATCGAGACTTCTAGCTGGAGGTGATAGAAAAACTAAAGATGAACACAACGTTCTACGAGGAAAGTGGTGATCGACACATGTGGCTAAAAGAATTTAAGAAGGAGATTTAGTTATGGTCTATCTAAGAAAGGAGGGATTTCCTTGACGGCATGCCCATAAGCTCAAGTTCAGTGTGTTGGGCATTTTTGTATTATGAAGAGATTGGGAGAGAATGCATATAAGGTGGTACTTCCGCCAGGGTATGATATTTCGCCATTATTTGGTATTTCAGATCTACATTATTATCACGGTGAGAACAACGAAGAGATGGAGATTGATTTGCAGGACCGGTTGCCAAAATTCGTGGTTGAGGTGATCGATTCTGTGCTTGATGCAAGGATTACTATACCACGAGGTGTGGATCCTATACCCATTATCTTGTGCATTGAAAGATAAATCTGAAGCAAAAGATTCGTGGATTTTGGAGATGGAGCTCCAAAGGGTAGATCCTGACAGGTGGGAGCAATGACAGGAGGGCGAGTTCTTCTTCTAACTAGGGGTGATTGATGCAGTCCTGTTGATATCATCTCCAACATTTAATTTTTATTTTATTTACTCTTTATATTCATGGGTTTCTTTTCACCGATTACTGAAATTTTTATATTATTGGGTTTGTATTTTATTTACTCTGAACTTCTGGATGTGTTTCGGGTAATATCCCTCATTTCATCTTTAAATATGAGTACTTGCTTCTTCCCCATGGTTCTTCTAGTGAGGGAAGCAGTGGCGTAATTAGCCTTGAGTCTCTCGTGAATTTCTCGAGAGCATGGGAGTCATCCATGGCCATGAGGAGGAGATTCTCAGCTAAGGTGTTTTTCGTGCTCCCACTGAGCATAAGCCTCTCTTATGGACTGCCTTTCATAAAACATTGCCTCTCGGTGCAGGTGGGGGTTCTCAATAGGCATCTGGCTAAGTGCCTAAGTCCTTTAAAGAGGACATAACAAATTTTCTCTTTCAATTTCAAATTCTTCATACTTAATAAGCTCAGCCATAAAACTCTTAGCTGCCATCCTTCTTGACTCAAAAAATAGAGAAAACTCCTAAACTATGGTAGTAAAATATGACTGCTCTGATACTAATGAAAGGTGTGGCTATGCGGAATTCAAGGCTATAAAATAAATTTTTTTCCCCCTTCTTTAATATTGAATCTGAATTACACTTACAAGTTCTACAATACACTTTTATAAATGGAAAATAAAACCCTAAATGCTACCTAGGGTTTTAAGCAAAAATATGCTTCCTTGAAATACGAAATAAATATGCAAATCATAATCAGCCTTTTCCCAATTAATTGGGATTGGCTACATGAATCCTGGTTTTCCATTATGCTCTATTAAATGCCATATCCTCGGTGAGGTCGTAAGTCCCTATATCTTTTCGGACTACTTCCAACCACGTCCTTTTGGGCATACCCCTTGCTCTTTTCAGTCCTTCCACTTGAACTAACTTGCACCTCCTAACATGTGTTGTACTGGGTCGGCACCACATATGGCCAGCCCACTTAAGTCTGCTCGCTCTCATTTTGTCATCTATTGGTGCCAGAAATAAATATACAAATAAGACTGAAAAATAAAACTAAATAGCCATGAAGACTTACTAGATTGTGCCTAGGGTCATCGCCATAGGATTTAGTATACCCCACACTCGATTTCTTGATCAATAGTACACTTCGATCCTAGTGTTCTTGTTGAATTCTCAAAGCCAGGAAGCTTCCTTAGAAAATATCTCTTAAACTAGGGTTTTTGCGAGCTAAAAAAATAATTAGGGTTTTGTTAGAACCATTTGAAACAAAGTAGGGCATGCCTCAAAGGCACCTCCCTTTCTAGGTTGGGCGTTCCCCTCTTTCTACATTGAAACCTTAATTAGGGCTGGCGTGCCGCCCTCATTAATTTCTTATAAGGTGGCCTGCCACTTAGATAAAGAGAGAGAGGAGAGAGAGGAGAGAGCAATAAGAACAAGAGGAGAGAGAAAACTTGGGGTATAGAGGAGAGAGAGAGCTAGCAGAGAGTGAGAGGCTCCAATTGTGTGTTATGAGAAAGGGGGTCACCCCTTATATAGGCTCAAAACCCCCTTTAGGTATGCCTATCCAATGATTCACCTTGACCAATAGGAATTTAGGAAATCTTTGAGGTGAGAGAGAAATAAATGAGCTATCCATCCCTCCAATCAGTCATCATAATTTAGGGAAGCATATTAAGATTTTTGTCCCCTTATTATTTGACCTATATCTACTTCTAGTCTAATTAGAATTAGACCAATCTAAAAGCCTTTTAGAACTTCCTTTTTTATTTTTTTAAAATTATAGGAAGTCAAAATAATATATTTTTGGTCAAAGCTAACTCCCATAAAAATAAGCACACGTAATCTTTTATTTAAAGGATTATCTAATTAACTTATCTTAAAAAATACATACTAATTAAAACAACATTTAAATTAAAAGATGAGGGGCATGCCACCCCTATGGGTGACATTTTGGCCGCATGGGCCCCACTCATGGGGTGTGATACACATGTAGTTGGATCCAAGGGCCCACATGTGTTTACACTTTTACATATGTGCTCCCTTACACTTCGTATTTTCAAAATTACCCTTTTTAAAGAATTTGCAGAAAATATATTTTCAAAAATTCTGAAAAATTTATAAAATTCATAGAAACAATTCTAATATTGAAAATAAAGAATCTAGAAGTGGACTTGTACCAATGGGTCAAAATAAGTGACTATAAGGGAACTCCATCTGAGCCAGCGACCGTGATCCACAAATGTCTTCTCAAACTAACTCAACGAAACCCATGACCCACAGTCTCATGTAGGGGCTCATGATTGATTTGTCAAAGCTGGTTAATAAAAAGTGGAACCATGATCCTGGAATGTAGATTACAATTCCCCCCATAAGAACAAGCTAAGCACATGTCACTATAGGGCAAAGGAGGACTCCCTCCATGTACATATCCCTTTTCAGGATTGCTTTCCAGTAGTGTGGTTGTCATATATACATGCCATGCAGAAGTTTTTTGAGAATTTAGCCCTTGCTCTTATATGCCTACATTCGCATGTAGGAGACCGTACAACTCTCTTGGTACAAACTATCCCTGGGCATCTCTCCGACCTCAACAATGGATGACTCTCTATAAACTCTTTTAAGTAGTGCCACATGCCTAGGGGTAAGGGTTTTGGACATGACTAGAGCCATAGACCACTTATCCCATAAGCAAACATCATCCACTCCCACTGAAGTGTATAAATCCACTATAAATGCCTTTTTACATGCTCGCACGGCCTTTAAAGGCCACAAACCCCATCAATATGTTCTTCTTCTATATGACATTTGCTCATGTGTCAATTTGGTACATTCCATGGTCTGTTTCGAAGCTTTCATTGTGATATATGGGTTCTATTTCCATGCAGCTCAAAGTTCATTATCAAGATTTTTAAGTTTGCTGGATAGGTTTGTTATTTGTCTATTATTGGGACTTTTCTCGAATTTAAGAATTTGTGTTTCTAATAGGTTTAGGGTTTCTTGCTTCGGGATTTTCTTCAATTTTATAGTTTACTAGTTTTTGAGATTTGTAACTGGTGTTTCTGAATTTCAAAGATAGGCTTTTGTCCTGTGGCAAGCGGACATACAGCTTAGTATCTCGCTAATGTTTCTTATGTTTGTTGAGACTAGAGATTGTCACTTAATCAACACTAAAATTGTTTAGGCAATCGGTTTGGATATATTTTGTGTTATTATCTTCAGTTATTGATTCCTATGAAATGGCTGATTATCAAGGCACTTATGTAGGTACCTAGTTCGTGAGAAGAAGCGAGGTAAAGCCCTTGATGCTGTTGCAAACTTTCACTTGCAAAATGGAGCGGTACCTCCCCTCTTGTAACCTAGTTTCTTTTATGGATTGTTGGGATTTTTTGGTGTTGCAAAAGAGTAATTATTTTTGTCCTCTCTCTATTTATAATTGTTTTGAATTTGTTTATCTGCCCATATATGATGGTCCAGTGTACATGTTGTTATCGTTAGGGAGGTGACTGTCCCTCTGGCATGTTCTCGTGTAAGTTTAGAAACAACTCCATAATTGTCATGGTTTTGAAACAGTCTTAAGTCTAGGCATCTCCTCTAATCCAGGATTCTTTAAACATCAGGAATTCTTTTGGAAACCCCTCCTAGGCACTTCTAGTGGTTCTATGTGTGTGTGTCTCTCTCTCTCTCTTTGTTTTGATTAAGAAATTGTATATTGATCTTCTCTTCAAAATCCTTCTAAAAAAAAAAAAAAAAGGGAAAATAAAAAGAATGTTCTTTTATATTCCTGCCTGAAACATATATTCATTTCTTGCATGTATCAGATCTCTCTCCTTTGATGTCATAAACCCTTTATCTCTCCCCTTCCTCAACACAACCACAACAACCCCCCCCCCCTCTCTTTTTCCTTTATTCTCTCTTCCGACTCTAAACACCGTCTTGAAATTCTGGCTAAGGGAACTCCTAAAAACCTCGATTTTGGTCTTAAAAGGACCACACAAACTCTAGTAGACCATAGGCAACCTAGACCCAATTTAATTGCTTCAAAACTACCCAAATCCTATCCCAACTTGAAGTAGAGCCCGAGATCTTTCCAACAGTCCAAGAATCGCCTGAATCAGACTTACGGATAAAATGATATAACAAATGACAATTTAGTCCCAGTGAGACCCAAGTGTTGGGCCGTGACAGAGCAGTAACGCAACCTGGAAGGCCCATACGTGGCTTGATGATGCAGTCGCAGCCTGATGATGTAGTCAACGCATTTTATGATGCAGTAAAAGCGTTTTCTTGAATTAGACAAGGCTAAAACTTTAAGATAAATCCAAAACATTTTGAAAAAAATCCAAAAAAATCAAGAAAAATCACCAATTGAATCTTATAAATACCCCCTCTCCTTAACCCAATAGGGGGACGAAAAAGAGACCAAAAAAAGAAAGAAATCCCTTAGAAATTTTCGAAATCAGAAAAGTTGCCCAAAAATACCCCAAAATAGGAAAAACCCCTTAGAAAATTCCTAAAAAATTAGGAAAAATCCCTAAAAATCCTAAAAAATTAGAGAAAATCCCAAAATTCATATTCAACATCTGGAGATCCCAAAACCTTTAGAAAACTAAGAAAATTCTCCTCCAATCCTAAGAAAAGCCTAGGTAAACCCTATCTAAAATTCTCAGCTTTTCCTCATGCCTTAGGAACCCTAGATCTAGGTAAAAAACCTTAGATCTATCAATTCCAGCAAGCAAAGACATCCAAAAAAAGCAGATGGTGGACTGACCTGATCCAAGCCCGAAACTACGGGTTTTGGGTCCCTAGAGGTAAGTATATCTTTCTTTGCTTGATTTAATTTGTTTTTCTTCATTTAATTCTCTGTTTTATTTTATTTTTTTGGAAATTAATTCATCATTAGATTTAATGAAATATAGAAATTTTTTTTTTAGTCAAAATACGGATATGGAGTTGGCGCTGCCAATGGACTCAGAAAAAGACCGGATCTGTATGGATCTGAGATTTTTCTGGGCCCATAATTCAAGCGATCCCACTCTCTACCTTTTCAAAAGTAATTTAGTTTTTGTTAAGATTTGAGCAGATCTTTGCAGATTGGAGCGTAAATAGTTTAGCGCCCACCGTGGGGCACCATGAGCTTCAGATCCGTATTTTTAGACTTACGAGAGCTTCTTTTTCTTCTTTTTTTTTTTTTCTCATATTTATTTTTCCAGCAAAAATAAAAAAAGAAGAAAAACAAGGTAAAAAAAAAAATTTATTTTTATTAGATTCTTTCTTTCTAGATCTTATCTTTTCTCTCTCCATAAAAATTTTAAGATCTTTTTCCTCTCAATCTTTAGATCATCTTTGTTTTTTTTTAGAACATCTTTAGATTCATCTTGATATCATCTATATCATCTTTTTCATATCTTCTTTCGTTCTTATTTATCATCTTTAGATCATCTTTTATCTTATTTAGATCATAATTATCTTCTTTAAGTGTATCTTTATCTTTTTAGAATACACCTTTTAGAAAGAATCTTTATCTCTTTTCTAATAAATAAATAAATAAATAAAATATTTTTCTTTTAGATGCATCTTTATCTTTTTTTTTTAGATAGTTAAAAAAAAAAAGAGGCAAAAAAAATAATTAGATTAAAAAAAAAAAAGAGAGGATTTTTGTTGCATAACTTTCTAGTCATGTCTATAGTTTGTGGTGACTCAAATACTGAGTCTACTGCGTCATCTAGTCCCCCTAGGATGACTAGACCCACAGGACTTTATGGCTCAGTTCCCTGGGCCTACCCTGTCTTAGGTCAGTCGAAATCAGGCTCTAGTAGGTCCATTGTCCCGCACCCAAGGTTAAGCATAGCTAACACATCTGTAAGTCAATCGAGCCGTGGAGTCTAGCAAGTATGTATGGCTCGAGGCACCCTCAATAGTCAAGGTATTCGACTTGGGTCGAAAGAAAGAGTTGAACCCACCTTCATCTTCTAGGTCTAAGTCTAAGGGAGATGCTGCCCAATTAGGGGCACATTTCCCACAAAACTCTGGTTCTAGGGGACATGCCGCCCAATCAGTAGCTAAAATCCGTTTATCTTCCAAATCTAGGGGAGATACCCCCCAACTAAGGTCGTATCTCCCACAAATGCCAAAGTTTAAGGGAAATCTCACTAAACTGGTAGCTCACCCCACATTATCATCGAAGTCTAAGAGTGAAGCTGCTCAACTAGGGGCACCGACCCACATCTGTCTAGCTCTAGAGTTGATGCTGTCCAGCTAGGGGCACGCCATCCACCTTTACAAAAATCCAAGTCTGAGGGAGGTGTTGCTGAAATTTACACTATCGGCAATACCCCAGCTCCCCTTAACTCACCTGACCCATAGGGTCAAGTAGACCCGAGTCTACCTCCTCAAGGTGAAAGTTTGGTCAAATCACGTCGGGATCCTCAAAAGACCCATTATAGGGGCTCTAATAGTCAGAATTTGAGCCATCATAGTTCATCCAACAAGGGCATGCACCCTGAGTTACATCAGTTTGATCAAGAACTCCTCGAGTTCTATGACACCTTTTCATTTGAGAGGCTCAAGAACTTACCCTAGGTCAAGGCTTTCTTGAAGCGTGCTGGCCATGTTGAGCCACATGCCCCACCTAGGGCATCGAGTCATTAGTTAGGTCAGAATCAGTGGATCTCTTTACCCCATGACCAACAAAGTTATGTGAGTTCCACCCCGGCGGCCAGCCGGTATCGCCAATCTTCTCATCCTCAAACTCCTGTAGATCTTGCTCGACCACGGGACCGTCCATCCCATTGTCAGTCCAGACCTGACCCTCCACAAATTATGTATAGTCATTCACTGGTGCAGCCTCTTCAGGCCACTCTATTTCCATGCCATCAGTCACAGGTACCCTATTCTGCTCCTGTTCCAACTCAATATCCCCCAAGTCAGCCATACCAGTTGGCTTCACACCCTCCGCCTACAGTCCCGGCCTATAGTCACCCATACCTGGGATATCCTGTGCACTAGGCCCCGACTGTCCATTTTCAGGCCCCGGCACCGGCTTATCAGCCTCTGGCTCCTTCAGTCCTGGTCGCTTCTCAGATTTACCCGTACTATCCTCCAACCATCTCGAGGGCCCCACCTACATCTAGTCTTGTGCAACCCATATCAACTGCATCCCTTGCACCATGAAATATGCCATCAATTCTAGGAAACCAACAGACCTCTGAGGTTAAAACCCCTTAGTCAGTCGAGCTTGCTCAGCTGAAAGGCGAATTAACCACATTTAAAGAGACCCTTGCTAAGATTGGAGTTCTAAATATACATCCTACAAGATCTTACGTCAAGGATGTTCTTGGGGATGTCGAACCTCTTCCTCCGGGTTTCGAATTCCCTCAGTTTGAAAATAAGTTCAATGGGAAAGGTGATCCTGAAAATCACATCATCGCTTACCTATTGACTGTTCCTGCACTTGAAGAGAAACAGTCTCAAGGTCATCTTTCAGTACACTCTCTCCGGACAAGCTTTAACATGGTTCCGAGAGGTGGTATCAAAATACCCGAATCAAACTCCTGATGAGTTGTTTCAACATTTTGTTGAGCAATATCACGGGACCAGAGAGAAATCAATGACCCCTGGCGAATTGGTCTCCACCAAACACAATCCAGGCGAGTTGTTTAGAGATTTTGTCCAACGATTTAAAGAGGCCGCATCTAAAGTCATTGATTGGACACTTTCTGAAGCCTCTAAGATTGGTATGGCCATAGAGAATGCTTCCCTTGAGTATAAACTCTACTTCAGTAAAGAATTCGGCCTTTCTCTTTTGACTCAATGCTAGAAATGGTTTCAAATTATGAGAGAGCAAAGGATAGGGCCCGAGATCGGTCAACAGTTACACTGGGGCAAGAGCCTGATGAAACGATACTGGGGCAAGAGTCAGATGAAGTCATGAAGGAACAAGAACCTGACTACAGTGAAGATTCATCTAAATGTAACTCTGAAGAGATGACAATTGAAGAATTTGACGGTGATCCCAAGTTTGAGCCATCACCAGAATCATTTAAGGACATAGATGGGGCTTCCTCAAAGCAAAGCCAGGTAATATCAGATGATAGGACTGATGAAGATGGAGAAGTCCTAGTTGGTATCACCTTGATAAAGATCAACGAGTTGAAATCCCTGCTCAAGCCTGAAAATTATCCAATATGGCCTTGGGGCACAGGAAGGAGTCGCCCTGAAAATGAAGACCATATCAATTTGATAAAGATCGATGGGTTGAAGTCCATGCTCAAGACTGAAAATCATCCAATATGGCCTTAGGGCACAGGAAGAAATCTCCTTAAAAATGAAAAACGAAAT